CTTCGGACTGGGCCAGCAATTCGACGAGGTTCTCTGCGGCCTTTGCGGCCTTGTCGAGTCGGGATACTATGTGAGAGCGCGTCTTTCCAGTGACACCCTTCGCATCAGAAGTATGGGAGGATTTCATGGCCATAGCATTGGCCCAGGCGCGTTCACTCGTGAGCAGGAGAAGACGTGTGTACCTAGAAACCGTCAGTGGGCAGGAAGAGCAAGTGAGCGGAGGCGGGCGGCGCACTCATGGTTCTCGGAAATCTGGTCAGCGGTGATGTCTGCCTTCTTGTGGAATTTGCTGCGGTTCTTGGTTGCAATGCCCAGTTTCTTGCGACTGTTCAGTAGCTTTTTGCCTAGCTGAGTCTGGTAGGTCGTATAGTCTCCGTAGAGGAGAGCTGAGTCCCTTCCGGAGACGACAAATCTGGTGATATCCATGGTTTCGAAACTGCCGGCGATCGAAGTGTTCGTCCGTGATAGTCGCCGTTGTTGGGTCTGCGGAAGTCGTGCACCGCAGGGCTGACTAGGTAGGCCAGATGCTGTCGTGAAAAAGCCGAAATCGTAACTGGTCTGCGCTGCGCGGGGGCGGAAGATGGTGGGGCGCACACTCAGTTTCCAGTGTCCTTTCCACCCAAAAAGTCGCACCCTTATGAAAAGCTACTGGCTGGATAATTAGGTACAGAGTACACTCGCTACCTACCTTATCCACGCTAGGGGGGCCTTTGGTGAGGTAAGCATGGTTACCTAGGTATGGCGTGGAATTTCCAGGTTTTCTCAGGGTCCATTCCAGCAAGCCGGGCCGGAAATGTTCCCCTCCAACGGTTCCATATCGACATGCCCGGGCGCTCTGAAGGCGCTGGATTGGTCGAAGCTCCTGGGGGGAAAAAAAAAGTCCATGACACTGGACGATCAATGGACTGATGATAAACAACACCTTTTAGCCGCAGACTCGCCCTGTTACTCAGTGTCACAAGGGAAAAGTATTGCCACAAGGCAAATCGAGACACTCTCTGTTTTCAGGCCTCTTAGTCGGATTTTCTTTGACCTCAAAGCCTGTCTTGTGGCACCCTTCCGGAGGTGTCCGAGCCGCCTCAGGCAATTGTTTTCTCGTCGTCGACGTCGTCGATTCCAACCGGGAACCCATAAAGATACTCCACCCCCAAAACTTTTTCCCGCCGAACGCGACGAGCCCGGGGCCTACGACGACAACTCCACGACCAGCATGTTCTCAAGTTTCAGTCTTTTCTACGCTCGGAAGTCATAGTCGACAGCTACCGCTTCGTTGACACCCTCATTCCCAATGCTGGAGAGAACGGCGGCGACTCTGGAATCGTGCACGACTCTTCATGCGCTTCCTTCCGCCACTCACTCTTTGAGAAGTCGCCGAAAGTTGCACACCGGCTTTTGGCAGCATGGAGCTGCCCCCATAGACATCCACAGCCCTGCGCTGTCTGTGCACTGCAATGAGCCAGACTCATCCGCCTCAGAGCCGTCGTCCTCCTCGCCCTCTTCGACATCTGCGCCGTACGATGGCTTGGTTGCTTCCACCTTCCTGCTCGACTTCCTATACCCCAGTGGAGCCGCTGCCCTGTTGCGCAGACTCGCTCACGGTATTAATGACCGCCAGCCGTCGTCGATACAGAGGCTACCTCGTAGGTCTCGGCCATTCACCTCGTCCGCTGTTGCCGCCACCGCCAAAACTCCAGAATCGTCACAATCGGACGCTTCCGATGCTCCTTCGCGATACAGCAAACAGGAAACACCAGTCGATACCAATACGAGAAGTACATTACGTGCTCGCCTCAACAAAAGCGAACACGATAATTCTCAGGGAGACGTAGAGCGGCGAAAAGATGTTGAGGAAGACGTTGTCGACGACAGCAATGCACATGGCTTTCCGGTTATTCGCGAGGTCGATGTCATAAATACAACCAAAACCCATAGCGGCCCCTCGTACGCCGGCTATGGATCGCGACCCGATCTGATGAGGGACTTGATGGCAGTCGAGCAGACGGAATACTTTGGCTCAATATGGCAACTTTATTTCCAGCTTGAACCGCAGTTACAGCCAACATTCTGTCCGGAAGTTATAGTCTACCTATACCGATCCGACAACCTTTTAGACGCTCGCAGAATCATTCTCCTCTTCTCTCAGCTCGAGCGCAGCCAATGGACGCCAGCGGTTCTTTCATCCGTCGTGAACGCCAATTTACGTCTCGGCAACGAGCGTGAAGCTCTTGAGCTTTACCACACAGGCCTCGATGAACAAACGATGGTTGGCGGACTAGATGATCTCCTTCAATACGGCTTCAGGAAGGCGAAATGGGATTTTGTGAGACATGTGTGGACATCATATCATGTTGTTTTCGAAGCCCACGGGATCAAGTGCGGAAAATTGGAACGTCTGGCAGCCGTTCCGAACCTCGGTGACCTCGCAATTCAATTTTCCAAGGAAATCGACAGCTGGTTCACCGAGAACCCAGAGAACACCGAAAAGGTCGACACAATCAACATTCTCAAGAAGAAGGTGGCGCGGCGAGCTCTTCAGCAGCCTTGCAAACCGAATGAGGCTCTTCCATTGCTGAGGATCGTCGATCAAGTAAAATGGTACACCATCTACCTGTCAGAGGCCGTCCAAAGAGGCCAAACCGAGTGCCTACCAGAAATATACCGCATCTACCGGGCATTTCCTGGCACGAAACCCTACTGGGCCATCCTGCACGGTATGTTCGAGATCTTCTATCCTAATGACATAGAGGGTCTTGAACAGGTATACGAAGACTATCACACTTCTTACCAGGGGTTGGATCGATGGGGTTTCCGGAAATTTCTCAAGTTCTATGCTGCGCGTGGCGATATCAAGTCTGCCGAGCGTTTGTGGGACCAATACGTCCAGTCTTACCAACATCGCCAGGTCCTTCAAGAGCCGGAAACCTTCAACCATCTGCTGAATGCTTATGCAAACAATGGAGATCCCGAAGGTGCCCGCAGAGTGTTCGATGAAATGAGGGACCGCTATGGAGTCACTCCCAGTATCTACAGCTGGAACATCCTGCTCAAGAGCTACGTGCGCTCGAAGTCGTACGACGGCGCCTTGGGTCTTTTTGACGAGCTTTGTGTAGCAACCGCTCCCGACCAAACTTCCTTTGCGACATTTATGTCTCTTACGGGCAGAAGCGGTGACTTAGACATGACCTCAGGGCTCCTTGAGAAGGCGGTGAAGAAGGAAGTTTTGATCAACGTACCCATCTTGGAAGCCATGGTACACGCTTACTGCCAGAATAAGAAGTTCTCGCATGCCTTGGCAACCTGCGTGAATGCCAAGAAGCAGCTGGTTCCGGGAAACCAAACGCGACTATGGAACGCATTGCTGTTTTACCACTCAGAACGTCGGGCTTTCAACGAGTTGTGCCGCGTTCTGAAAATCATGGCCGAGATGGGGATAGAGTGGACGTCAACCACCCACAATGTACTGCTCCAAGCACTGGTCCGTTGCAAACAAACTCACCACGCCTACGATTTGCTTCGAAAAGCGCTGCGAGACAAGAGCTTTGAGCTCACACCAGAACACTTCTCTACCGTCATGGACGGCGGTTTGCGTACGCGGGAGTACGGGCTGGTCACTGCCACGGAAAGGATGAGACTGCGTAATGCTACAGAGCGATCTGTGGATGCTCTGATCCGACTGGTGGAGGCCATGATTAGGCGGCAGATATACAGCACACTGCCGACAGAAGAAGACGCCGGCAAAGCCTTGTTGGCTTCATCGTTGCAACAAATGATTGAAACCATCGATGGAAGCAATGTTCCGGACAGCGTTCTCAGTGCGTCACTTCGAAGCGCGGACTCACTCCACCGTCTGCGACGCGTGTTACCTAGAGCCATTACGCTCTTTTCACGGTACCGGGACTTCCGTTTGGTCAAGGAGCTTTTTCGTTTGCAGACAGACTTTGGGTTAGTGCCCACCCCACAGAGCTCCGACGACCTTCCTTTGAACATGCTTTGTGCGTTGTTGAAGGAGAATGTCGAGGATCAGAGCTGGGACAAGGCCAAGGAAACATGGAAGCTCATCTGGCAGCATGCTCTCCGGCTTGGATGGCCACAGACTCGAAAAGGCTCTATGAACGGCAAGGTGATGCAGCGACACGCAGTTATGCTCTCTGCCCCAGTCAATACGATTGCAAAGATGTACATGGACCAAAAAGACCCCGATGGGTTCAAGAAACTTGTCGACAGCGTGTTGAGTGCTGGCTTCACCTTCGGCAGGCAAACTATGAACGCGATCTGCCAGACTCTGGCAAGACTGGGCTACTGGGCAGAGGCTTGCGAGTACTGCGAGAAGTATCTAATGCCGGGCTTCAGCGGATGGCAAATGAAACGTCTCAGGAACCGCCACAAGAAGAATTTGCCGCTTGAGCAACGAAGAATAGGCAGTGCGCCGCAGTGGCTACGTCCCACTTCATACACCATCGTTGTCCTCGCGGAGGAATACATGGAGATCAAAACCATGATGCCATGGTCCTCCGCCGCCGCAGAAATGATCCACATCGCCAGGGACAAGTTTCCTCGCGTCGTGGCAGCCATCGACACAATCACATACACAGGCATCGGCATTGAGGTGGACGTCTTTGGTGACAAGAAGCTGTCTACAGGCCGGGAAAGGTTGGAGCCGGAGGACGCCACCAAGGAGTATGCCCAGGAGGAAAGCCGACGGCCAAACTCACCTGGAGCTAGTAATTCAAAAGAGGATGGCTTCACCCAGCGGTTCGAAGATCGTATATAGACACGCAGATTCCGTGCGTAACCTACGTAAATGGTGCGAGGGTGAAAAGAGTCATATATCAAGCGTCTATAGATAATGATTGAACTCTTGTTGATAAGAGATGTAACAGTGCAACTTTTCTTTATTGAAATCCCCAAATCTACGTAATATATACTATCTTCCAAATCCATACAAGAAATGAAATAAAAAGGGTCTCACGAGTCGGTCGTTCGTGTGTGGTTTGCATAGGTCATAGCTTTGGCGTACGCATGATGTCTTGCACCTTTCCCACCATAGTGTTGCCCATTCCTTCGTTCCGGGCATCTCCACTGGCTATACCGAGCCGGCTTCTCTGCATAACAAACAACGCAGCCGTGGGCGCGTCCAGGCTGTAGTTCAGATGGGGGTCGAATATAAATTGCCCACCCTGGCAGATGTTGTCGCCTGTGTGGCAAACCACGAGTAGCCGGGTCGAATCAACGCCCTGTATCGCTTTTCCGCCGAGCGGATCGCCAAAGTGGACGACGCTCGATATTTTGGCCTGCGCATCAGCCGGCATTGCCGCGATGGCCAGACGTGCCACCTGCGACCCCTGAGAGTAGCCCGACATCGTGAGCTTGGTGTTTGGACACATGGAAATTGTTTGCTGGGCCACCCGGGTCATGAAAGCCGCGCCGTTGGGGGAGCCTCCGGCGAAGAACCCGGCGGCAATGGCCGGGTAGTTATTCACGCCTTGCACAGCAACCGTGCCGGTGCCGTTCATGTAGGTTCTGAGGGCGTCGAAGAAAGGGGGGCCGGTAAGGAAGCCCACGTTGCCTGGCATGTTGTGTAAGTGCTCATGTTTCCATCTTTCAGTACTCCTGGCAGGCACGACTCGTGGCTTACCGGGCTCATTGGTTCCCCTAGCAAACACAATGGCGACATCGGGGCATGTGACGGCCTTTGCCGTGTTGTTGTTCATCAAAGGCATTCCAGTCGTAGTGTTCAGCCCCAGAATGGTGGTCAAGTCATCTCGCAGAAGACCGTTCTCGTCCACAGTCTCTTTCAGGGCCCTGACGACTTGAATGGTCGTGTTGATGGCCTGATTAACGATCCCCGGGACTGCGTCGAGTATGTCAAGGGCGCCAGAGAGAAGACCGGATAAATCTCGCTTCTCCTCTACGCTGGAGCCGGCGGCGTTGACATCATTGTCGCCGGGCTTCTCGAGGATGTCTGCTTGGGGTATCGACAAAGCCGTCGTCTGCCGGCATAGCAGCGCCGCCGACAAGAAAACTCTTGGTCTCATCGGGGCCTGTTGGAAGAGGAGAAAAGGCGTTTGCTTGGTAAATCCGGTGAGAGAATTGTGCACTCGCCCGGCTGAGGCGTGTAGACAGTTCGTGAGCAAGCGGACGATCTCCAAAGGTTTGGGCCAGATCTGCAGAGCCGCAGGCAGGCCTAGATTCGATCATCCAGATACGTGGGATATCAATTGCGAAAAAGGATTGCAAGATGGGGGTTTGCCGGTGTATTTCAAAGCTGTGACGTTTGCTCGTGGAAAGAGCGAGTTGCGTCACGTAGCAACGCATCACACACAATCATGGGCCGAACAGCAACGTAATGAGTCCGCGGCAGCACGGCATTACGTGCGTTGTTCGGCCCAAACAGCTCAACGCCAATGGGCCGGGCTAGCCTGCCGATGGCCCTCACCTGCTGAGGTCAGAGAATCATCGTTGTTTTGGGGCGACTCGTAGTACGAGTACGCTCAGCCCCAGTGGCCCGAAGGCGAAGGCGTTTCATCCGCTGCGTCCTACGGCGCAAACATGCCGTATGAAACCATCTGATGTTGATAGCAAATAGACAGAAAGCCCTCACAGCACAAAGGCAAAATGCTGCGCGAGGACACTGCGAGTATGCGAGGTTGGCATTTGGCAGTTGCCGGAGGTATTTGAGAAAACGGTGTTGAGGTTGAGGGCAGCGCATGACAATGACCCCTCTCTGCCACTCGATTCGTTGCTAAGGATCGTCAAGAGCCCTCAGTAATCGAGAATCCATCATGGCACTTGGAAAATCCTAGGTGGATCTTCAAGAAGAGTTAGGATTTACGCGTGTCGACGACTGTGATGATGAGCTGTAGTTGCATTTAGCTCACCTTTTCTAATGCGTTCAACGGAGTCCGTGTAATCTAGGACGCACCTTAAAGAGCCAAGGACGCGGCCTCTAATTAAGGCGCTGATCCTCGCATTCGGAACCGGACACATAAAAGCCCCGTAGGGGAGAGTAAAAGCCCGACACAGCTGTGCGACTAGAAAGGTTCTCGGTGCAGCCAGCACCTCAGACGACGTTCAGCGCTGAACCACGGTTGCCGCCTACCTCGACCGTGACCGGGATTCTTCAGAAATTGCTTTCTGAACAGTAATTGTATTCTCTATCGACAGCGCGGCTACGAGCGCACGCGGTGAGTACACTGACAACCTTCTATGAACCTTTCCTTTCCCATGGAACTCCTTGATCCGACCCAATACACCGTATAATCAGGGGAAATAAATAAGTAGATATAATATGTACAATGCAGGTGTGCAACCTACTCTTGGTTCTCCTGGTTTCCCAAAGGCACTCCGCCCTGATTTTGTACTCCGAGAGACCGAAGTCTTTGAGAGAGGAGACCTTCCGTGCCACCCGGGCTTCCGCGCCCCGACGCATTAAACACATTGCCACCGTACCCGACGTCACCTGGATTCAACTTCTGGTATCGGGCGACCTGAGCATCCCAGCTGTCTTTTGTCGTCGGTCTACTGGCTTGTGAGGACTGTGGCGATCGAAGGTCTGCAGTCGTGGTGGAGGCATCAGTGCCATCGCTGATGTCACTTCCTAGGCGAGCCCGACCAGAGAGAGCGAACGGAATGGGCTCTACGGGCTGACTGCTGCCGGCAAAGTTAAATGGTGACGGGGAAGACTGCTGGCCGGGCATCGTCTGCGGAGATTGAGAGAGCCCGTCGGTTGCATCAAGGGTGTACATGGAAGGGCCGAACGGGATGCCGGAACTCCGCCGTCTAAAAGCCTTATCAGCTGCAAGTGTTGCAGCAGGACCGCTGCTAGTGACCATCGGCGGGTGCATCGCACGTATTGGCTTGTAGGGGCTGTATCGAGGCTCTGGGCAAGTTGTCTCATTGCGTAGCTTTTCCTTGCCGTCAGGGACTCTGTTTGCGAAAACGATTCGGATGCTCTTGTAGAGATAGTAGCGGCCTCTGGCAGGACAACAGATGTGCAGATGCACAAGATACCTCAAGATGGGCTTGTCAGGTCCAACGGGGTCCTCCAACCCAGGCGCGTTCTCGATGATCGGACCGGCCGAGTAGCTGCGCTGTCGGATGAACGTCTTGGTTCCTGGTTCCATCCCTACCAAATCATAAGGCACCAAGAACAGCTTGACAGCCGTTTTGTTGGGATTCTTGATTACGATTTGGATCTGACCCTTTCCAGGAATCCGATAGCTACCGCCTGGAGGAGCTCTTGGAGAACCAGATCTCCGTCGCGAGCGTTGCGCTTTGCGTGCATCGGGGTCTGACCCATCTGCCACTGAAGAGCTGTTCCCCATGGCCACGTCGTCTTCGGCGATTCTTCGTTCGGCAACCCTGCTCTGCATCTTCCTCTTGGCCCTGTGGCCCTCCCCTGAATTAGATAGGCCATTCTCCAGATCAATCTGACCGACGTATGGACTGGGTCCGTCTTCGGCGTTGACGCGCCCTTGCGCAGCGCCTCCATAGCTGTAGAACACCGCCGGGAACGGCAGTGTTACATGCGCCGGACATCTCAAGCTTGATTTGCACTTGCCCAGGCCCAGCACTCCGATCTGAGCGAGAAAATCAAGTGGTTTTGACGGTGTGGTTGACATGCGACCCCGCAGGATACTCTCCTCATAAGAGCCGACCATAGATGCATGCTGCAAAGGCGACGCATCCGGGTTATTGAACGATGGCCGTCTCGGTCTCAAAAGGATTGGCGTTTGAGGTGACGTTCCAGTGAGGAATGGGGCATTGGGGGCTGAAGTAAGGGAGCGGCGAGGCTGATGTGCTTGGTAAGGCAAAGCGACGTTGCCTCGCTGCGAAGCTCGTCTATGCAGGTTAGAGGAGCTTGGTGACGGCAAAGCGAATGGAGATGAAATGGCAGAGTGCAACGTATGCCGGCGAGAGCCCACTCCCAAGGGACTTGCGGCGATGTCGATGCTGTTCAGCGGTAGTGACAGGTCAAGATCGTCATTACTCTCGGACTGGACCAAGGGACTTGTGGGAGGCTTATAGACAAAACTGGAAGAAAAGGACGAGGACAAAGACGACGGTACTGATCTGAACTCGTCATGCGACGGAAACGATATCCTCCTATCAAAGTGAAACGACGAAAAGTCTCGAGGTGGCGACGTCGCGATCCAGGAAGTGCGAGACGTCGAGAAATCATTGGTCCCCTGACTGCCGTCCACCTCTTGCGCCGTCTCTTGACTTGACCTTGGCTGGTCCTCGGTAAAGTCGCCGCTGTGTAGAGCAGATCTCGGCCTCTGTATGCTCAGCCCCTCTCGTAGTCTCTCATCTTCCTCCTTTGATCCGTCGAGTTTCTCTGGGGTGATGTCGGCGGGAGGTAGGAGGTTGGAAGAGCTCGACTGCGGACGCGATGTCCGGGGAGTGATCGGGTGACTTGGGTTACTGAAAAGCGACTCAAACTGATTGGTATTGTGAGCAAAAAGACCGTCTCGAGCGCTTCTGGAAGTGCCTACATGGCGATTTGGAATCCAAGTCGGGCTCTCTCCTTTCTTCAAGCGCTCGATCAACTCGGCTCGATCGGACGTGACGGCAGCAGCATCGGACTCGGGGGTCGAAGGTCGGGGGCTTTCGAGTATGGGTCCTTCGCAAAGCTCCGTCCGTATGCTCTCCTCGGATAGTTTCCTCGTCAGGGACGGGAGGATGGGCTGTTCGCATTGTATGGCGATCGGCTGTGGTGGTTCGGCATCCGGAGTGTCAGAGACATTCTCCGGGTGATCGAAGTCGTCCTGGAAGATGGGCATTTGTTCGGTAAAGGATTGGTCTGAACCACAGCGGTGCTGTGGTTCAGAGCTGTCGTCGGGTTCGCAATGTTGGCGGTAGTTTTTGGGCAGAGGCAGAGTTCGGAACAGTCATGCCTCGCTTGGATCGTGTTGTCGGTCTTTGTCAGGTGGTTTGATGGTGTTAGTCACCAGGTTGATTATTCTTTAACAAATGGCTGCGACAAAGCGAGGCGGTAGGACGTCATAAGTGTGTATAGTGTACACCGTGACGGGCCGCGACACCCCGATTTCGCTCCCTATCCCTGGCTTGGTTCTGAGTCAAGCAAGGGTGCCGGTGGTTTGCCGGCGCAAATAATCTGACGAGAACGAGGCTTTCTTGGGATCGAAGTGAAAAAGAAATTACGGCAAGAGGGAGACGGTGCCGCAGACTAGAAGAGGTTGGCGAGTTGCGGTCAACAGCGCGCTCTCATCCCGCAGTGCATTCTCCCGTCCTGGCTGCCTCCTGCAGCTGCCGTTGCCGTTCGTACGAGTTCCAGTTTGGGTACCTACGAAGTAGGTAGCTACCTGTGGTCAGCTGCACAGGACCCTAAGTAGCGACACTGCACTACGCCCAGAGGGGCCATGGGCCCGGGGGAAAGGGTCCCTTGGCTTGCCCACCTCCCTCCGCCGACAACCAACTGGACAGCTGTGGCTCCCACTTTGGCGCTGGAACGTCCCTTTTGGACCGGTTCCATTGACTGATAAGCCAACGCTGGCGTATTGGATTCCTGGACAATCCTGCATTCACTGGCGGCATTGATGAAGCGAATTAATTCAGCAACACTGTGCACAACTTCCTTGATTGTTACTGAACCGCCCAAGATCCACCTTCTGAGCTGGCACTTGACCTTGAGTCCCACTCATTGTCTCCCGATGTGGGTTGTCCTCGTGGATGATGAACGATGCGGTTTCCAGCCTGCATTGAGTCTGTCATGCCAATCCGGCCCATGCAAGCACAACACAGCACAGCATTTCTCAACCTAGCTCATGCTGTATCCATATCCCAAAACCAAAGCACCCAGCGCCCCTGACCACCGGGAGAAAGCAGCAGTGCCGCCGTGCCACACCCAACAAGTGACTTTTCTGGCCAGCAAGGAGGGGTCATATCGTAGTTCAGCCCAACGATGAGGAATAGAGGAGGAGAAGAGGAGAAAGAGGGGAAAGTCGAATCAAACTCCCTTGGTTGTTGGCAAAGCTCTCGGCTGAAACACACCGTAAGCCTTGGGCCGTAGATAGTTCACACCTTGACTCGGATGCAACTTTGCTTTGCGAAGCCTTAATCCTACCTGATCCCGCTCGAATCCATCAAGGCTTGCATGACAGCTGCGTACTGTCCACACCTTGCAGCAGGTATGCGCCGTCCGGACCGCGCGATGTATTCATCCTGTCGGCGACAACCCGTTCTCGGCCCCGCAGTGGGTCTGGACAAACCGTGTGATCCCGTAATGAGGCCGACTGTCCCGCCCTCCGACAAAACCTGCCCAAACCTATTTCGACGATGTCTTTGTCAAAGGCGCCAGAAAAACCGCGACCTGTACCTCTAATTCAAAGACTACAGCTCGGGGTTATGGCAAACGGGATATGATCCTACACTTTTCATGGTGTGCAGTAAGTAGTTTGTAGCCATGGACGCTTTCACATTTCATCCCGGACAAAAATGAAGATAAAACTCGGCCTCATCGTAGGAACTGGGGGCCATCACAACATCCTCTTAGGCACGACATCACATTACGACCTAGATCCAAAGGAAAAAAAACACGGAAATGTCGGTATAAGGGGTATCAATTCTTCTTGTTGCCAATGCTTCCTATGCGCGTTTGCCATCTCTAGGCGACAACTTCATCACAAGTGTCGTCAATCCACTTGAAGCGTAAACAAACCTCGCAACTTTGCCCAACGCCCTCCAGAGCCACCTTGGGTATTCATGTACTATAGCACACTGATGATCATCAGTCATGAGTCTCGCCTGCTTCGCCCCTATGCAACTTCCCATGTCGAAGAAAAGCTCTACGCTTGTCGCAAGGTGTTTCTCCTACTCAAACCCCCAATCGTCGTCATCTGCAACATCGTAGTCCATTTCAGGCTGTTGTTCAGATTGCTGGTCAAGGGTGATCGCCGAGGACCCATTAGGAGCGGCGTTTCCTATGGCCACATCCTGGTCCATCGCGCCGGAATACTTGGACGCGCCGTTTTCCGCCGCATTCTTGGCCGACACAGGCGGTGTCGCAACCCATGACAGCTCAAGCTTACCATCAACGCCAGGTATCTCATGGTTTGTCAGCCCGTAATAGAACTTCTCGGCTGTCTTCCGATCTTTGAAGGTAACCTGGGTATTTGAGGGCGTAGTGTTGATGTCGGTGAACTCTCCAATGCCCTTCACGAAATTTCGTTAGCATATCTTGCGCACTTATTAGAGAATGCGCCGACTTACGAGAAGATACTGCCGCAGAGCCTCGTCCTTCTCTGGTGAGGTGAAGTCTACACCAGTGACGGAAACAGTCTTGGGACGGTTGTCCAACGAATAAGCCGCATACGCGGCGTGCACATCGCCTCTGTATCCGCCGCGGTATGATCCTCTGCCCCGCGGAGCGAAGCTTACTCGCCCGCGTGGCACAGATCCTCCTCGACCTCGGCCTCTACCGCGGCTAGCTGCGTACCACGGAGTTGGCTCATCCATCGCGCTTGGGTCTAGACCAAGGAGCTTAGCCTCGTCTTCCAGAGCCGCAAGCTGGGCCCGAAGAGCAGAACTCAATGATCCCACGTCCTCGTCGGGATTTTCTGGGCTTCCGTGCCTGGATCCCGCCAGTCTGGCCTGGAGCTTCTTTTGCTCCTCGCGATGTCGCGCGAGCAGCTCCCTTTGACGATGCTCCAATTCCTGACGTTGCTTGTCAAGCTCTTGCTTCTTCTGCATCTTCTCCTGGTGCAGTTTCTGAGCCTCCTCTTGCTTCTGTAGGAACTCTTCCATGTCGAATTCTGGTTCGGCCGGATGCTGTTCTCCGCCAAGGTCAGTGCCATCCGCTCCAGCTGCGGCAGCGGCTTGCTCGTTTTCGTCCTGATGCCAGAAGACTCTGACAAAACGATTGTCAAAGATGGCCTTGGGAGAACGGTAGGCGGCGTTGGCGGCCGTCCAAGAGTCATACTTCAAAACCGCAAGCCTTCTCTGCGGTTGCATCCAAATGTCTTCAATGGTGCCGAATTCCGAGAAAAACCCACGAACAGACTCTTCAGACATGTGCTCGTCGGGGATATTCTCCACAACGATTGTAGTTCTGGTTTCGTCAATGGCAGGGCCTTCCGCTGAGAACGAGGCTCGGTTCTGACGCCGCCGGCTCTTAGCCCCTTGACGACCCTTTTTGCCACCTCGACCGCCTCTCTCGGCGTTGAAAGCCTCCATCAGCTGCTGCATTGCCTGGAAATTCTGCGACATCATCATAGCTGCAGCCTGGACATCGAATTCTGCGTAATGGTCAGTCTATATTCTGCAAGGTATCGTCAATGAGAACAAGAGAACGACAATGTAGCTTTCAGTAGTCAACCTTATAATAAAATTTGTAAAGTCATCGCATAAATGCTCGGACGGAGTTGTCATCACGCTACGAGTAGGGAAAGGAAAGAAAGAAGAAAGTCGTGTGAAACTTACCACTCAGTTGTGGAGGCCCGTTGGTAGCGTCGTTGGCTGGCAACCAGATCGGCTCAGAGCCGTGGTCGTACTGACACGAGCTTCCACGGGCGCAATAGCCTTTGGTCGCGAAATCACGGCATTTCTGCCTGTTTCTTCTCGGACCTTGCGACGTTCCATATGGAGGCACCTGAGAATAGGCCGGCATTCGCGGCGACGCGTCGCGCCAGGCCTGAGGCCCGGTGGGTGGCTGGGGGTAGTGGGGGTCATACGGCGCAGGCCCGGCTGGAAGCTGCGAATAGCCATTGGGATATGCTTGATTCTGGTACTCGTCCGTGCCACCATCTCCTCTCGTCAAGAAGCTTGGATCCCATTGGCCTCGACGCAGCTGCTTGTACGCTCTCTCGGCGTGACCGCTCGACGCGTCTGCATCGCCTCTGTCATAGTATGAGCGCTTTCGCGAACCAGTCTGAGGTGATGTGCCGGAACGACTTGTGTGCGAGGAATGTTCTGTGTAACGGCTTTCGCCTGCAGTCTCGGATCGCTTCTTGGGCGGAGGAGGTGCGCCGGGCAGGTAAGACTTGTATTCAATGACGCGAAACAGTTCGTCGACAAAGTCGGGTGCGGTATCTAATTCGCTAGTAAGTGGACACATCGTTCGGAAATTTTTCTATGATACTTACCTGTGTTGAGAAATTGCGGCAGCTCACTTTCGCAAGCTGTACGAATCGGCGCAGCGTCCCCTTCCTGGGATGCGAGAAGAGCAAGGACATAATCTGCCAGGATGTCCGTCTCGGTATCAGAGCTGCCATATGTTAGGGGAGATGCAAGGTATGACGGAGATGACGCGAGACTGACACTTCAGGCAGCTTTTTCATGAGCCATGCCTTAAGCAAAGGCCCATCCTCCTGAGGAAAAAACATGGTAGCGGTTCGGACTGTGCCGGACCACGGAGTCGAAGCAGGACTGCTGTATCAATAAGTCTGATACTTATGATGTGTCGAAGAAATGGGACGAAGTCATTGTCGTTGTTCGGGGGAAAAACCCTCAAACGAACGAGATTTTCGCGCCTGCCGGAGAAATGGATCGTGTGGTTGAAGACAGCAAGAGCAGCACCCAGAGCGAGGCTGAACTTTTTTTATCTGCGCCTCGCTAGGACAGACCCACTTTAAACCTAAGTGGGATCACTCCACGCAGGTCATAAGCCTCTTCGTAGCTGTCTATACCCATGCCTCTCTAATGAAAGCCTACCTTGCCGTCCGTGCCCGTCCGACGGGAGAACTTGCAGGGTCCTATAATGTCAAAACAGGCATGAGCCCTCGTGTATCAATTGTGCGATTCCTAATGCACGTACGCATACTGCCGCTTGCTGACATTGTCACACTTCTTCCAGAAATTGACATATTGAACTTGTTTGTCTTCATTCCGAGACTACGCAAAAGCTATGGAAAGAACCGGGCTCTTAATTTTTGATATCATCCACCAAACCCAGTTCGTCAAATGTGCCCAGAAAAGCACAACGCCATTTTCTATTAACCCGTGGGAAAGGCGTTTACAGCTTGTCGTAGTACTGAAAACAGTTAGCATCATGTCAATGTGAACAGATATAGAGGGTAAACTTACGTTCTCAACACCCGGAACCTCAGTCTTGAGACCCTTACGCTTACGCATCTCCTGGACGACCTGTCCGACCTTGGAGGTGGCATCGAGAGGAGAACCACCGGGCAGAACCTGCCAGTGGTCAAAGACGGACTGAGGGAAAGCCTGTCCGGAGGTGGCCTGGCGCAAGTCGCCATTGAACCCGAAGGATTCCATGACGGGCAAGTATGCCTTGATTGTAAAGAGAGGAGTACCAGGACGCTGCTCCTCGTTGAAGACGTGACCACGTCTGCGGGTAAGGACACCGTAGACACCACCCATGGCCTGCTCGGGGACCTGGATCTCGACCAAGAAGACGGGCTCGAGGAGAGCGGGCTCGGCAAGCAGAGCAGCGGCGTAGAGAACACGACGGGCAGTAGGGATGATCTGACCACCACCACGGTGGATAGCATCGGCGTGCAGGGTAACATCCATGATGTTGAAGCGAGTGGAGCGCATGGGCTCCTCAGCGACGGGACCCTCACGGGTGGCCCACTGGAAACCAGAGACGACGGAGTCCTTGATTTCGTTGAGGTACTGGACGGCCTTGGTCTGGTCAACGAGCAAGTTGGCACCAGTGGTGTCGGGGCCGAAGGTCCAGATCTTGCGGGCATCGGTGACATCCCAGCCGAAGTCGTCGGCGAGGATACGAGCACGAGCCTTGAAATCGTCACGGGGGCCGATCTTACCAGCCTCGATCTCCTTGGAGAGCTCCTCGTCGATGGGCTCGGCGATCATGTACAGACGGTTGTGCTTGTTGGGAGACTTGGACAGAGCAGTGATGCTGGACTTGCCGGCAACAGTCTCGCGGTACTGGACGACGGGGTCGGAGATGATGAGAGGGACACCGGCGTGGTCGTTCTCGAGATCGTTCAGGCAAATCTCCAGGTGAAGCTCACCAGCGCCGGCAACGACGTGCTCACCAGACTCAGAAGTGTAGGTGAGGACGCAAGGGTCGGACTTGGACAGACGCTTGAGACCCTCAACAAGCTTGGGGAGGTCCTGGGCGTTCTTGACCTGGACGGAGCGCTGCACGACGGGGGAGACGGAGAACTTCATGACCTTGAGGTTGTGGGCGGTGTCGCTGGTGGTGAGGGTACCAGACTTGAGAAGGAACTGGTCAATACCGACCAGACCGACAATGTTACCGGCAGGCATGTCGTCGATGGCCTCGACCTTACCACCCATCATCAGGACGGTACGCTGGATGGCCTTGATGAAAAGGTCCTCCTTCTTGCCAGGGACGTAGTTGGGTCCCTGGATGCGGACCTTCAGACCGGAGCGGACTGTACCGGCGAAGACACGACCGAAGGCGTAGAAACGTCCCTTGTCGGAGGTGGGAACCATCTTGGAGACGTAGAGCATGAGAGGACCCTTGGGGTCACAGTCACGGATGGCAAGGGCAGCCTCATCATCGGGGGGACCCTCGTACAGAGTCTCGGCACGGTACTTCTGGGCCGTGACGGGGGAAGGAAGGTGGAGAATCATCATCTCCAGAAGAGCGTCGGCAGCGGGAAGGAAAGTGCGCATCACAGCCTTGAGGAGCTGCTTGCCCTCCTTGTCCTTGTCCTCAGTGGCGAGCTTGAGGTCAAGCTTGGAGAGAAGGGTGGTAACCTCATCCTTCTTGAAGTTCATGACAGCGGAGAAAATCTTGAAAATAGGGTCCAAGATGAACTGGTTGAACGCACGCTCCAGAGGCTTGCCCTCGTGGGTGCCCTTGCTCGTCCACTTCTTGGTGTGCGGGTTGAAGTAGCTGTCGCCCCAAAGTCTAGGAGAGGGTTAGCAAAAAAAAAAAAAAAATCAACGAGTAAGTTCTGTGTCAACTTGCCTCTCCATCATCTTGTTGCGGTCAACACCGAACTTCTTGGCGTAGCGGACGGCGAACTGGCGGACGGTGAAGGCCCAGCCGTGCAGACCGGAACCGAAGGCGATGGTTCCCTTGTAGGGGTAGACCTGGACGTCACCGAGAGACTTGTCGAAGTAGGTGGAGATGATGACGTTGACGGACTCGATGGTACGAGAGAAAGACTGGTACAGGTCCTCCTTGGACACCTGAAGCTCGAGAAGAGCACGGTCGACCTTGTTGATGATGACGACGGGCTTGATGCGCTCACCGAGAGCCTGACGCAGGACAGTCTCGGTCTGGACGCAGACACCCTCGACGGTGTCGACGACGACGAGAGCACCGTCAGTGACACGGAGGGCAGCAGTAACCTCGGAAGAGAAATCAACGTGACCGGGAGAGTCGATCAGGTTGATCAAGAAGTCGGTACCATCGGTCTTCTGGCCGACGATATCCTTGACATCCTCGGGGTCAACGCCGTGGTACAGGGAGATGGCAGTAGACTTGATAGTGATACCACGTTCCTGTTCATCTGCACGTGTATCCGTTGCTCTTGCGTCTCCTGCCTTGGCGGTGGAGATGATACCGGCCTTGGACAGGAGGGAATCGGTAAGGGTGGACTTTCCGTGGTCGACGTGGGCAATGACGGACATGTTACGGACGTTGGTGGGCTTGTCCATAAGCTGCCGGATCTCCTCGATCGTGAAGCTGTGATGGTGATGCCATAGTCAGCCAACTGAAGCAGCGTTGAAAGCTTATCTCCGAAAAAGTGAGGTGTTGTTGCTGCAAGGCGGGGTAGGGAGTGGCATTGCTCAGCAGCGTAGGTGCCGCACAGCGCGCCAATTCAGCATTATCAAGGAATTGCCCATCGCCGCGATAAACAGGGAGAAAGCGCGGGCGAGATTGCCAACGACGACGAGAACAGGAGCAGGCAACAGGAGTGGACTCACTTGACCATTTTGACGGCGGTGGCTCGGCGAGCACTTCAAAAATTGGTATGTGTAAGGTTGAAGTTGAGCGAAGCGGGGTTGAAGAATTTGCCCCGCGCTCACAGAGTGCTGAGACCTTTTTCTACTTGAGAAAAGAGGCAAGCAGATAAAGCTTGTGAGATGCCGAAGGTTGAAAGACGACGGTTCCAGGAACGACAGGGGAACTTGAGCTCCTCTGCCACTTCTTTTATCGTCGGGGAGATGATGGGAAGGGCGGGATGGGGAGGAGAAGAAGAAGAGAAAATTCAGAAGTGGTGCAGGCTCTGCTTGAGGTGGGTTGGGTTGTGCCAGACGTTGCCCCGAGGGAAAAAAAGTTAGTGCTGTTACGCCGTGGGTGCGTGGGCGCTGGCCCTCGCCGGATGAGAAAAATGGGTATGGTGGGGCGGCCAGAGAGTGAGGAAAAAAAACCCCGCCACTCTCGCCCTCCTGCCATAATTTTTTTTCCCACCCACCACTGACCTCCAACCACAGCAACTGCAAAACATCACCCCTTCACCACCTTAGGTGTGGTGGGATGAAAGTGGGCACTCTTCGATCGCACCTGCTCATTCGGCCACTGAAAGCCGCGTGAGTCGGCCATTGAATCAGCCTGCTCGCCGTGGCGCCACCCCGTCCCCATTTGCTGCGCGTAGGATTAACACTCCGCATACGCTCCCGCCTGTGTTGACCCCTCAGTACCCAGACACCTACCTATCCATGGTTCACGCGTACCTGCCCGTACCTACTGAGCGACTGGGCATCGATGGCGGCCCCAAGCATCCCAAGGTACCTAAGGTAGGGTGTCTAACGCCTGTGCTGAGGAGCGTTCCCTTCACTGGCCCTTGGAGTGCTACCTACCTTGCTTACCTACCTGCCTAGGTATGCGAAAATGGAAGGGCAACAACCCTGGTCCCCTCGCACCAGAAAGTCCGGACGGCGGACACGAGCTTCAGTGTCTCATCAGACACTGGGCACTGCTCGTCCCGGGGTCTCGTTGTTGGCGTCGCCAGCCAGACGCATCTTTGACACATAACCCGTTTGAATTAGACCAAGCTCGATGCCCTCTCGCCTTAGAATTTCCTGCTGTAGACCATCCAAACCACCTCAGTAATCCTTGGATTGTGGTTTTAATGGAAAGACCCAAAAAGCAGCTTAGTGTGGCAGACTGTGTGAATCCAAAGCCCCGCCCTGGCTGTGTGATCAGCACCCCGGTCCCCCCTACTTCGAACTCGACCCCTCTGTATGACCCAATGACGACGTTGACCGGATTAACTCTGCCCAACTACCAGCGTTATCCGGCAGGGAGTCATCGGCCTTCCGCCGCAACTATTTATTCAACCGGTCGGCGGCTGAAACAAAAGGATTCTGTGAATGAGGGCGCGCCGAATGACTGAATTTCCAGACCGAGCTGTATCTGTACACATAGTTGGATCCGGGCCACGCCACAGAGCACACCGAGAAGGTCTGTATTGATGGCAGGGCAAGGTCTAGTCACATGATGCACTCTGTGAGGAATGCGAGTGGGATATATGATTACTAAGATAAGACGGTACTTCCATGTTCACGTCTGGTGCTTATTAGTGTACTTGCGTGTGTACGTGAGGCACCCATCAAGCTCATTCCCCGCAAACTCCCTTAACGCCGAACCAAGACTGCAAACAACCCCCAAAGCTTACTTACAGTACATGCCGAGTGACTCAACGCCGGGTTTTATGATCCCAAGATTTTCGAGTACGCATCTTCCACCTCGCCGGCCAACTCAAGTAGAGCTACGATGACGATCTGATGCGTCAGGTTGGGCAGCCGGTCTCGGTGAAGGCCAATCCATTCTAGCGGCGGCGTTGCCTCTCCCATATCCCTTAACTGGGGTGTCTCGATAATGGGCGGTTCCAGTGCCACATAGTCGTACTTCGACTGCGGCACGTTCACCTCGGCCGTGATCTTTTGCTGCGATGGGCCTCCCACCTGCTGCTCCTCTGTATCTGGCACGCCCGTCACCTTGATGGCCGTGAGTGGGAGCTCTTTGCCCCAAGTCTGCTCTAGCGACTTTGCGTGATTGGCCCACATCCCCCTGATGTAGCTGATGCGCGAGTAGTTCCATCCCACCTCGACTTTGCCCTCGAATGCGCTCTTGAAAATGTAGTCGATGCGATTTTGATTCGGTGTTTGCCATGTTTGCATGACTGCACCCACCTTGGGCACCTTCAAAATGGTTCCACCTCGGGACCCTGTGGCTCTCTCAACCACGTCCTCCACAGAAATTTCACTAAGCGTCTTCGGCGCCTCAATATTTCGGACGCCGGCGAGTCCAATACGCAATTGACCGAGCGTGAGCCCCAGGATGCTGTGGACGCGCCGCTGTTCAATGCTCGCGGCAAATCTTGCTTCCGCATCCAGAGCTTCCATCTTGAACACTTGGTGATCCGAGAACGTGCTCGGAAATACACCAAGATTCAGGGCCTTGAGCGTCACCACAACATCGGTGTCGAGGGAGATAGGTGACTTTGACAACGTGTCTTCCTCTCGGAACTTCGGCAAGCTTGTCAGATGAGGAGATGCCGCAGTGTTCCCATAAGACCGCCTTCGCATGAACTTCTCGATCTCTTGCAAGGACATTTCGAAGTTGGCCTTTCGTTCTTGTATCAGCTTCTGCACTGCTTGGTAAAGAGCAACACCTTGCGCTGCAGATGTCGTGGTGCCAAAAACCTGTACCGCGTCTCCGTCAAAGATGGCCACCAACCGGTCTCCGCTGCCTTCGAGACTGCGACGAACGTTGTACATGAGAAGCTGCAGAGATGTGATGTCGGCTACGAGGAACGCTTGGTAGTCGAACGCTGCTTTCACTCGAAATTGGCTGAAGCCAAGCGATGCTTGAACAAGAGGTGTTTCGTTGAGCGCTTGCTCTCTCTCAGGCCATTGGATTGACGTCCGAAGCTGAAATTTTTGGAGGGCAATAAATCCACTCAATCTGCCGGTGCAGTCAATGCCAATTCTCTCGAAACCAAGGCAGAGATTTTGCTCCCAGTCAGATGTCTTCTTCGATGAAACCCAGAATTCTTTGATGGCGAAAATGGATTTGCCAATGGCTTGACCCATATCGACGCTGACGTTCAAAGAGGCAATCGATACTGTTGCTGTCCAAGGGAACGCCGCAGTTGCAGCCACCTGCTGGTATCTTTGAACCAAGTGGCCTTGCGACGTTTCTGTGTTAAGCTTTGCCACTGGGGCCGTGGTCGTGTTTCGAAGCTCGTTAGGATACCAGATCTCGCGGAAAAGCAAGAAGTCTTGAAGCTGTTTGGCGTTGATTGAAACATTCATAGGGCTGACTTTGAGAATAGCTGACACGCCACTGGTTCCGCTGACGTGTTTGCTGTTCATCAACGATAGCACAATCGAGTCAACGTCAAAGCTCCCCGTCGACTCTCGAGAATATACATGCTGAACGGACGCTTGGAGTTTGGAGAACGCGCCTGATATGGAGAAGAAGTTGCCTTGTTCCACGGATCGCACGGTGTTGACGGTGAAGTAGATGTCGTCAAAACAGGTTGTGGCAGCAACGCGGGCGATGGGCTGACAACTGAGTGAAAACTCTTGACGACATATCCGAAGACCGAGGTTCAATTTGAGACGACCAATGACGGCGTTCGGGTCGGCAGTAAGAATGTTATCCTCATTGCCAGGTTTGGACTTGGATGCTGCAGGAGTCTGAACCGCCGGAGCATCTGTGTCCTTGCTAACAACCTCTTTAACGCTCGTTGTCATATCCATGATCAATGGCACAACGGAGGGATACAAGATATTGCTCGATGCGTCGATTTTGATTTCGCCGTACAGGGAAGGATCTTCGCGGCCGTTGTCGCGATACTCGAATTTCCAGGCCAAACCTGGAGTCCTGAGCACAGTGCTGCTGCCGGAATCATCAGTGCTGAACTGGCCATATTTTCCGGCCAAGGATGGCCTGCCAGTTCTTGAACTTCCACGAAGCCCATCCGTCGGTTTCTTGCCAGACACGTAAACCACAGCACCCGAGAAGTCAGCGTCTACCAAAAGAGATTCTAGACGTTTGGTGCCGAGGACACTGCGTCTCGGGGGAGCCGGCTCTCCGACCTTCTCTATCTTGTCGACTTTCGTTGGAGCTGTTCCTGTGGTCCAGTTTTGCGATGCACGCTGCACATTCTTGATCGAGAGTCCGATGGAGTCATTCAATATGGCCGCAGGAATTATGAAGCCCGAGGTTAGACGAAGATCAAGCGACTTGCCAACTGCCTGGAACGCTAAGCGGCGCGTGTTGGGGTTGGACACATATGCGATGTTGAAGACGACCTCCGGGAGCAAAGCCGAGTGAAGAGACCTGAGGCTCCTGTCTTGACCTGGAGGAACCATTTGAAGCTGGAAGTTCTCGATGGTGAGTCTAGCTGACTTTGTCTGGCGTGTTCCAAAGCTGACCAATTGAACTGATAGGATGAGGTCTTCCTTGCTCCCTGCGAGTGGCATTAAGTCGTCCGAAGGATTTCCAACGAGCCAGCAAACTTGAGTGTCGCGCACTTCGAATCGGTAAACAATAGACGAGAGAAAGGAGTCAATAATGTCCGGTTCCTCCATCTCCTCTTGATCGTTGATCGCAATGCGTGGTCTGGTTTGCCTAATTTTGCGTAGATACTCAAGCTCTCGAGAGGTATCGAGATCTTTGATTTTGTCACCCATGTAACCTAGCGCAGCAACCACCGTTGATACAGTCTCGGGTGATAGATTTATTTCAAGCCCGTCGCTCCTGAAGTTGAAGGATCGCTCTTCTCTGCCGTCCTCTGTGGAACGTGTGTTTGCTGAAATCAGAGCTCCCAGCGCAAGGCTGCCGCAAGATCTCATCGCATTGTCTTTGCCCTTCTGTACGTCAATCAAGATCTGCCGCAGGTTGACATGTAGCTCGGGTTGCGCCAAGATTGGCCCATGGGACTCGTGCCGATTCGAAACTTCCAAATGCACTCGATCC